AATGCGTAATCCTCTCTTGTATTTTCGTCTTGAACAGGTTAATCAAAAGAAAAACAGTAAGAAATGTGAAGAGCTTAACTGGGTCCACCGAGGCTATGCCTCCGGGATTGAGGGTGGTGGTGCATGGAGGATGACGAGGGATCCGGGGGTTTCGCAGGAATTGGGAGCAGATGTTCGGAGTTTGATATTGTGGAGAAACCATCTCAATGCGGCCATGCTATCCTCGGCGACTTCGACTGCGACGATCACGCATCCCAACTTTGCCGGCATGATGGTTTGATTGATTGGTTGAAGACTTGAAGTTGAGTCGGAGTCGGAAGATGTTTTACCTTGGGCTGTTGGCCAGCTTGTGTTGGCTGAACTACCGACTCTCTGTCGGCGGGCGTTCCGACGATCACGGCTCTGCGCCCCGTCCGGAAACCAAAACGTGAATCATTGACTATTTGAGTATTGCGTAATTTAAGATAAAAAAATCAAATAAAATTGACAATAAATAACCTTTAAAAAATATTTTTCAGGTTCACTTGTTAAAAAAAAAAGAAATATTAATAAAATTATTTAAATACGTTTAATAAATTATTTTTACATGTTAAAAATAGAATTAACTTTTTTATATGTTTTCGTACTTTTTTTTACATACCAACTTGAAAATCCTCAACTGCTTAACCCTATAACCTCATTTCAATATGTTTTTGGATTCTTCATTTTAATGCTCAATCTAATGTTAATTGACGGCTTTAGTAATTTAGTGTTCATCTTTTTCAACTGAAAATAAAATATCTTAAATTTAAATTACATGACAGGCATGTAAAATATAATAAATGATTGAAGATGTTATCTCTCATTATGTAATCAAAATAAAAATAAAAAATAAAAAAAATCAATTCAGTGTTAAAACACCAACCATGAGATTAGAGAACTCTCCCCACTATCAGTATTTATCATTTAATTGTTAGTGTTTTATAATTTAATATATAATTTAGGCAAGAAAATACATTTTTGTTTAATGTTTATGCATGATAGAGAAAAGTTTCTCAAGTGAATGGGTACAAAATAAAGTAGACAACAATATATAATTATATTATTTTAATAAAAAAATTTTACATCTTATGTACATCATTTTATTATAAGAGTTACATAATTTATTAAAATTATATAATTTTATATATTTATTCATCTAATTTTTATAGCTTCAAACTAATAAACTAATCTTATAATACATAATACAAGGAAAATACAATATTTTGTAATTATTTATATAATAATATAATATTATATATATACATATATAGACTCATGTCTGACCCTCCAATAAAAAAATTATGAAATGCATATCCTATTGTACAAATCTTTAAACAAAAAATATCTCCGTACATTATGTGAAGTACCCTTCCCTTTTAAATCTCTTTTCTTTTGAGTTATTTTATTTCCAATTGTATTTTCTTTTTCATGTTATGTTTCTAAGTCTGGGTAATATTTGGTCGGAACCAATTCGAATATTCTCGTGAGAGAGATTTTTTTATTAAATTTCAACACAAAACCAATTCAAATTAGAAATGATTATTAATAAATATTATTAATTATTATTTTAACATTAATAAAATATTAAAAATAAAATAAAAATATATCTATTTCAATTTATTAAGATTGAGAATCTCAACAAGACTCTACATAGAAAACCTTAGAATTTCAATAATTTATTGCTTATTTTTAAACGCTTTCAAGCCTATTTAATAGTGGTGCAGTATAAGTTTTCTAAAAATCCTTTTTGGGTTAGAATCTTTGATGTCCCTGTTGGGATGCAATTAGAGCAAATTGGATTCACAATTGGGAACTCTTTGGGGAAGGTCCTAGAATATGATGATAGTTTTCGCAAGGCAATCAGGGTTTGAATTGATTTAGATGTGAATCAACTCTTAAAAAGATTTAAAACTTCTCAAATTTTTACTACAGAATGCAGTAAACTTCAAAACAAATATGAACGACTTTTGGAGTTTTGTTTTGTCTATGGTTGCATAGGCCACCTAAACAATAGTTGTGAAATTGCCAATAATATCAAAGATGGGGGAGGTAAAATTGTTTGTCGGTATGGATCATGGTTAAAGGCTGAATTGGAACACTCATGGTGCCCAGATGATCTTAATCTTTGGGATGAAACCTTTATTGCAACTACACAGTCTCTAGTCAATGATAAGATTGTGAGAAACCAAGAGCATTACGAGACTATAGCTAATAATGCAAGCTAGGTTGAAGGACATAATGATACTGCTGCTTGAGATCTAGAGGCAAATAATAACATGACCAACAATACAAGCCAAATGGAAGGGCACAATGCGAATGGTGTGGAAGAAATTGCAGATGAAACAGCTCGGATCCTTACTACTATTGTAAGAGAAATGGCTTTGGTAGGGAATATAGAACATGTTGATGGTTTGTCAGGTTCGATGAGTGACCAATTAGTGGAGATACCCTTAGTCCTTGGATTTGATGGTATTGAATAGTTACCAAGGCACGGAAATGGAGCAAAAGGAGGTAGGGCCAAATGGAAATGAATAGGGCATGAGGTGGGGTCCTTGGTGCATATGGAAAAACTTACCCAAGGAAAACGAAAGGGTAGTACAGTAAGTTTGGCAGAACAAAGGGCAAATAAGGTGCTATTAAATAATACAGGGGTGGCTATGATTCTTGGGGATGTCGATGGCACTGTTTTGACCATGTAGGTGGATAATTTTCATCCATTTGTGAGGTAAATATCAATTATGAATGGGCAGAGCATTGTAGTGCCGAGAGACACTACACCGCCAAGTCCATTGATCTCTCATACTAGGCTTGGGTGGTACAATAAATGAGATTCCCAACAACGTCAGTAAGCTCCAGTGCATTCTTTCTATGTTTTTGCATAACTCTATTGTTACCCCTATGACGTATACTAATATTTAGAGGTTCCTAGTTCTTAATTGTCACTATTTGTATGGAACACTTAGCTTAATATGTTAATGTCTCCTAGTCTTTTTTCTTGCTTAGCCTATATGGCTTTATCTAGTGTAATTAACAATTTTAGAACATTAAAAAAATTAAAATCTTAAAATACGCTTTCTCTCTCTGTTTCCCTCGTGTCCATCTTCATTTTCCTATTCCAGCATACCATTAGTACCAGGCCTTGGAGAATTTGCTGACAAATGCAAAAATATCCAAATTGGTGCACATATAGCAACCACCAAGAAATCAAATTACATTAACACAATTAATCTTAATAAAATGGACATAATTTAGGATTTAAGAAAAAATAGATTTGTATATTATTTGAGAAATAATGCTCCTTAATTTGTTCAAATTCTTAAGCATAAATAAAAAATAATTATAAAATAATAAATTCATAGTACAAACAATTATATCTTAAAAATAAATTCATGAACTTTTAAAAAAATTTTCAAAATAGATAATTATCTAACATGTAATTGTTGGACAACTTATTAATTTCTTCAACTTATCTTTTTTTTGAAAAATTACTAACAATGATGAAAAGACCATAGGCACAACAACCCTAAACAATTATTTTGAAGACTAGTAAATGAGTGAAAAAACATACTAATAAATAATAATTGCCATTAATTACTAGTTATTTTTATTTATTTTTTGTTGTTAATTTGAAATATTTTTTTTCTAAATAAGCACAATGAGGTTACTATTGAAAAACTGACAATTTTAGTCCAATTGTCATAATCGTAAAGCCCTACCCTGCATAGAATTCTGATTCCGCCGCTACAAGATATAGTTTGTATTGTAATTGTATTTTTATTATTAATACAATTATATTTTTTTATCAAAAAATATATATATATTTAATTATATATCATTAACACACATTATTAATCAAATATATTATACAAAAATAGCGTCGTGCTGCTAGGTTCAGTAGCTGAAAGTATCACTAGTTTACGCTCTTACCCGAATAGCATGCGGCACATGGAATCCCGTGTGAATTAGCAAGGACCACATTGCAAGGCTAAATACTTTTGGGTGACAATGAATCT